GTCCCAGCTGCCCTCAGAATGCTCCCAGTCACTCCCAGTATGACCCCAGCCACCTTCACTGTGGGCCCAGTTTCTCTCAGTATGATCTCAGTGCCCAGCATGGTCTCAGTTGCTCCCAGTGGGATCGTAGTAGCTCCCAGGTACCCCTAGCATAGAACCAGTTGCTCCCAGTATGATCCTAGTCTGATCCAGTATGATCCCAGTACAATTGCAGTTGCCACCAGTATGATCCCAGTAACTTCCAGACACTTCCAGTACGAATCCAGTTTGATCCCAGTCATCCCCAGTATGGCTGCAGTTTCTCTCACACACTCCCGGGATTATTGCAGCCACTCCCAGTATGATGCCAGTAGGACCCCAGGAGGGGCCCAGCTGCTTCCAGTAGGATCCCAGTTCCCTCCAACATGCTGCCAGGTGCTCCCAATATGATCCCTGTTGCCCCAGTTCTGGTCCCACTGGATCCAGTCCAGATCTCAGTGTATCCCGGTGTCCTCCCTGTCCCCCCAACCCGGTGTCACCCCCTTTTCTCTCCCCACAGAGCTCCTGAGCCGGCAGCGGCCGCAGCCCCTCCCCAGGGCCTTGGACCCAGCCTGGACCCCCCCCGTCCCTGTGAGGATTTTTGGGGGGTCGTGTGTCCCCCCCTCCCCTGCTTTTATTCTGACACTACCCGGCTGCTCCCAGTGATCCCAGTAAAGCTTCCCAGTTCTCCCCAGTCCCGGTTATTGGGGGGCAGTGGGGGAGGGGCTTGGGGGGATCCCAAGGCAGGGAGCCAAGTCTGGGGAGAGCAGAACTGGCCCTGGGATGGATTGGGAATGAGGACCCCCCCCCCGTGTTCCCCCTGTGTCAACCTGCTCTGGGGGGGCTTTCGGAGGGCACCTGCCCCTCAATAGGCACCCAGCACACCCCAAAACATGCTGGGAACCCCTAAAGCTTCCCCAGAGCTCCCCAAGGACCCTCAAACCCACTCAAAGCCCATCCAGGACCTCACCCAACCCCTTTTCTGAGGGGACTTCTCTGGGCACTGGTGGTGCTGGGAGCCCCCACGGCTGCGGGCGAGGAGCTCTCGGGTGAGCAGGGGGTGAGAAGGGGGAGGTCGGTGGGAAAAGCGGGGCTCAGAGGGGATAAAAGGGATAATGGGACCCCAAACGGAGCATGAGAGGGCTGGGGACTGAGGGGATGATGTGGAAGTGGTGAGAGAGGAAGGAAAAAGTAGGGATTGGGACCCCGAAACTGATCAAGGGGGGGCTGGGGATGAGGGGACCATGAAAAGGTGGAAGGAACAGGGAGAAGGGTGGAAAAGGGGGGGTGGTCTGGTGGGTCCGACAGTCCCATGGGGGTCTTTGGGCACCAGGAGGTTGGGAAAGGGGGGTGGCCCCCTGAGCTCCCAACTTACTGTGGGTGCTGAGGGCTGATGGATCCAATCTCAGCCTTGGATTATGCCAACAGTTGCAGTTTAGAAGAATTACAGAGGTGTGACTGAAACACTTTTGTCCCCCAGGTTTTAATAATGACAAATCAGATCTATTTACAGAAATGAATTATTTAGGGTTCCAAATGATCAGACAAAAGATCTTCATCAGAATTCCTTACCGCACAAAATACATACTGAAACTACCAGGAGTACAGGATAAGATAGGACAGTGCTCTACACTAAAGCAATTCTTGAAGCAATTCTACTCAAGCTGGCACAAAAGCAAGAATTCTTAATTAGAGATGGATGGAAATCCCCCAGACCAATGCTCGGGGGGAGATCTCTGCTCTCAACCTCCAGGACTGACCTTGGGGGGTCCCCAGCAAAGGCAGGAATCTCCACACACTCCCCAAGAAGGGTTCTGTTGGAAGAACCTGCCCCTGGGAAAGGGGACTGGCCTTTTCTGGTCGAAAAGGATGGACTGACAGCCCCTGGACTCCAGGGGTTGCCTCACCATCAGGGGCTTCATTCGGGGTGGAAGCAGCGGCCGAAGCTCTTCCCGCACTCGGGGCTTCCCTTACCGGTGGGTCCGTTGGTGTTGAGTCAAGCCAGACCTGTCGGTGAAGCTCTTCCCACACTCCCCACACTTGTAGGGCCTCTCCCCGGTGTGGATGCGCCGGTGGGTAACGAGGTTGGAGTTCTGGTTGAAGCTCTTCCTGCAGTCGGTGCAGCGGAAGGGCCTCTCATCCGTGTGCGTCCACTGGTGCAGGAGGAGATGTGAGCTGCGTTTAAACCTCTTCCCACACTCCCCACACTTGTAGGGCCGTTCCCCAGTGTGGACGCGCCGGTGGGTGACAAGGGTGGAGTTCCGGTTGAAGCCCTTCCCGCAGTCGGTGCAGTGGAAGGCCCACTCCCCTGTGTGTGTCTGCTTGTGCTTCAGGAGATCTGAGCTGGTCTGAAACCCCTTCCCACATTCCAAGCACTTGTAGGGCCGTTCCCCGGTGTGAATGCGACGGTGCAGGTGGAGGCCAGAGCTGTCATTGAAGCTCTTCCCACACTCCCCACATGTGTAGGGCTGTTCCCCAGTGTGGATGCGCTGGTGGGTTAAGAGCTGGGAACTCCGGCTTAAGCTCTTCCCACATTCCCCACATGTGTGGGGCCGTTCCCCAGTGTGGATGCGCTGGTGTCGGATCTGGTTGGATCTGTCACTGAAGCTCTTCCCACATTCCTCACATGTGTAGGGCCGTTCCCCGGTGTGGATATGCTGGTGGCTGAGGAGTTCGGTGCTCTCGCTGAAGCTCTTCCCACATTCCAAGCACTTGAAAGGCTTCTGCCTGCTGGAAGGCTGCTCAGGGACCACCAGTTCGGAGCTCCGCCTCAAGCTCTGGCCGCCTTCCTGGCACGCACTGGGTCTTTCCTCCTCAGAGCACCCTGGGCTG